AGTCTCTTTATAAGTCTTATGTATCTGGGTGTTCCGGTATTGGGTGCGTATATATTTACGATTGTTAGCTCTTCTTGTTGCATTGATCCTTTTACCATTATGTAATGTCCTTCTTTGCCTCTTTTGATCTTTGTTGCTTTAAAGTCTATTTTATCAGAGGCGAGAATTGCAACTCCTTCTTTTTATTTATTTATTTATTTTTGCTCTCCATTTGGTTGGTAAATCTTTCTCCATCCCTTTGTTTTGAGTCTTTGTGTATCCTTGCATGTGAGATAGGTCTGGATGCAGCATACCGATGGGTTCTGGCTGTGTCTTTTGATTGGGGGATTTAGTTGACTTAAATTTAGGATTAATGATAATATATGTGAGTTTAATACTGCCATTTGATGTTAGCTGGCTGTTTTGCCCATTAGTTGATGTAAATTCTTCATTATGTTGATGCTCTTTACTTTTTGGTATATTTTTGGAAAGGCTGATACTGGTTGTTCCTTTCTATGTGCAGTGCTTCTTTCAGGAGCTCTTATAAAGCAGGCCTGGTGGTGATGAAATCTCTGAGTACTTGCTTGTTCACAAAAGATTTTATTTTTCCTTCGTTTGTGAAGCTTAGTTTGGCTGGATATGAAATTCTGGGTTGAAAGTTCTTTTCTTTAAGGATGTTGAACATTGGCCCCCACTGTCTTCTGGCTTGTAGGGTTTCTGCTGAGAGATCTGCTGTGAGTCTGATAGGCTTCCCTTTGTGGGTAACCTGACCTTTCTCTGGCTGCCCTGAGTATTTTCTCCTTCATTTCAACCCTGGTGAATCTGATGATTATGTGCCTTGGGGTTGGTCTTCTTGAGGAATATCTTTGTGGTGTTCTCTGTATTACCTGGAGTTGAATATTGTCCTGCCCTGCATTAAATCTTAAAGCCCCATAATAATCTCCTTTGACTCCATGTCTCACATCTAGGCCACACTGGTGCAAGGGGTGGGCTCCAAAGGCCTTGGGCATCTCTTTCCATGTGGCTCTTCAGGGTAGAGCCCCCACAGCTGCTTTCATGTTTTGGCATTGAGCGTCTGTAGCTTTTGTAGGTGCATGGTGCAAGCTGTCAGTGGATCTGCCATTTTGGGCTCTGAAAGACAGTGGCCTTCTTCTCACAGTTCCACAAGGCAGTGCCCTAATGGGGGCTCTAAGAGGGGTCTCCAACCCTTCCTTTCCCTTCTGCACTGCCCTAGTAGAGGTTCTCCATGAAGGCTCTGCCTCAGCAGCAGACTTCTGTCTGGACTTCCAGGAGTTCCCATACATCCTCAGAATTCTAGACATTCTCCCAAACCTCAACTCTTGCCTTCTGTGTACCCACAGGCCCAACACCACATGGAAGCCACCAAGACTTGGGGCTTGCACCCTCAGAAGCAACAGCCCAAGCTGTACCTTGGCTTCTTTTAGCTACAGCTGGACCTGGAGTCACTGAAACACAGGGCACCATGTCCTAAGGCTGACACAGAGTAGTGGGGCCCTAGGCCTGGCCCATGAAACCATTTTTTCTTCCTGGGCCACCAGGCCCGTGATAAAAGGGGCAGCTGGGATGGTCTCTGAAATGCCCTTGGAGGGATTTTTCCCATTGTCTGGGCTATTAACATTTGGCTCTTTGCAAGCAAATTTCTGCATAAAACATTGCCATTCTGGAGGCAAACAAACCTGGCTGCAAAGCTGGCTCCAATCCTGGCCCTGCCACTTTCCCAGCTGAGGCCTTAGACAAGTACCCTAGCCTGTTGGGCATTCTCAGAGCCATCAGCTGCAAGTGGGTGCTGCCACACCCACCTCACTGGGCAGGCTGGGGCACCAAGGAAGGTAAATGGCTCAGGGTCTGGTACAATGCAGCCACATGGCAGGTCTGCCATCCAGGTCCTTTTCTTTCCTTCCTTTCCCCAAAATCAGGTTATCATTAAAGTGCTAGTCCACATTAATCTATAGACATCAACTGTGTTCATTTTCTATTTGCTGCTGTAATAAATCATCAGAAATGTAGTGGCTTAAACCAACACAATGTATTACCCTATAGTTCTGGAGGCCAGAAGCCCTTCATAGGTGTCACTGTGCTGAAATCAAGGTGTTGGCAAGGTTGCAGTCCTTTCTGGAGAGTCTGGGGAGAATGCATTTTCTTGCCTTTTCCAGTTTCTAAAGGTTTCATGCATTCCTTGACTCACAATCTGTCCATCTTCAAAGCCAGCAATGGCAGGATGAGTCCTTCTCACATCATCTTGCTCTGACACCAGCTCTCCACCTCCATCTTCCACATGTCAGGACCCTCGTGATTACTTTGGACTCACTATGTTAATGTGGGATGATCTCTCTATTTTAGAGTCGGCTGACTCACAACCTTAATTCCATCTACAACCCCAATTCCTCTTTGTCATGTACAGTAACATATTCATAGTTTCTGGGATTAGGTTCTTGTATTCCTCCCCAGAAAATAGGTTTTTCTTTTCTACCACATGGTTGGGCTACAAATTTTCTAAAATTTATGTTCTGCTTCCCTTTTAAATATAAGTTCTAATTTCAGGTCATTTCTTTGTTTATGCAAATGAGCATATGCTTTTAGAAGCAGCCAGGCTACACCTTGAGCACTTTGCTGATTAGACATTTCTTCTGACAGATACTCTAAATCATCTCTCTCAAGTTCAAAGTTCCACAGATCTCTAGAGCAGGGGTACAATGCTGCCAGTCTCTTTGCTAAAGCATAGCAAGAGTGACCTTTACTCTAGTTCCCAGTGAGCTCCTCATCTCCATCTGAGACCACTTCAGCCATTACTATCAGCATGTTTGTCATAATCATTCAACAGGTCTCTAGGAAGTTCCAAACTTTCCCTCATCTTCCTATCTTCTTCTAAGCCCTCCAAACTGCTCCCGCCTTTGCCCATTACCAAGTTCTAAAGTCACTTGCACATTTTCAGGTTATCTTTATAGCAGTGTCCCACTTTCCTGGTACCAATTTTCCATTGTCGCATTGCTATAAAAAACTACCTAAGACTGGGTAATTTATGGAGGTTTCATTGACTCATGGTTCTACAGGCTGTACAGTAAACAGCAGGAGAGAGTGAAGGGGGAAATGCACACTTTTAAACCACCAGATTTCATGAGAACTCACTCATTGTCACAAGAACAGCAAGGGAAAAATTTGTCTTCATGACCCAATCACCTCCCACCAAGTCCCTCCTCCCTCTTGCAAACACTGGGAATTACAATTTGACATGAGATTTGGGTGGGGCCACAGCAAAATCATATTAGATCCCAATGCATTATATGAGGAGAAAGTTAAGGTACAACCCATTCTTTGCCAATCACTGTGCTAACAACAGGTATGAGAAAGCATAATGCAGAGCCTGTCTTCTGTTAGTTCATATGCTGTGATAACTCCATATCATTAATGTAGTGGTTTACAGCATGGTTTCTGGAGCCAGGCTGCCTGAGTTGGATTCCTGGTTCCATTCTGATTAAAGCTGGGCAATTTACTTAAGCTGTCTGCCCTAGTTTCCTCATTTATGCTAACTATAATGCCTACCTCAGTGTTGTAGTGAGGAATAGATGAGCTGATACATGTAAATGGCTTATAACATTTAAGTCCCTAATATTTTAAAACTATATATGACTATGACTTAGCTATATTACAAAGAAAAATACTGAAATAAAATTCATTGCTAAAGGATATTGTAACCCTCCCTCACTTTAGTTACTAATATGACAGTGGTTCTCAAAGTGTGGAACTCAGACCAGCAGCAACAGCCCCACCTGAGAAATTGAAGATCTCACCTCAAACCTGCTAAATCAGAAACCCTCAGGTTAGAATCAAGCCACCTGGGTTTTAGCAAGCCCTCCAGTTAACCCAGGCACGTTAAAGGTTGAGAACCACTATAAAGGATATCCTTGCTACTGACATGGTTTGGCTCTTTGTCCCCAACCAAATCTCATCTTGTATTGTAATCCCTATAAGTGCCACGTGTCAAGAGAGACCAGGTGGAGGTAACTGAATCATGGGGGTGGTTTCCCCCATGCTGTTCTCATGATAGTGAGTGTGTTCTCACAAATTCCGATGGCTTTATAAGGGGATCTTCCCCCTTCACTTAGCACTTCTTCCACCACCTTGTGAAGAAGGTGCCTTGCTCCCTTTCACCTTCTTCCATGATGGTAAGTTTCCTGAGCCCTCCCCAGCCATGTTGAATTGTGAGTCCACTAAACCAAATGATCAATCAGCAACTAATATATAAAAATAGTAAAAATATGTGTGCTGATCTATAATGGGAAGAAAAATAAAACTTTCCAATAATGAAACTGAAACTTGAGACGAATTTTTGACAAAGTTTTTCTTGCAAGAGGAAATTAAAGAACTTAGGAAAAAATGTATGTATCTTAGACTCCCAAGCACTGTTATTATGAAGTTCAACAGTAAGCCACAAAAATGAGATTAATTTTTTAAACAAACATTGGTTGAACTACATCAAAATAAAAAGCTTTATACAAAGCACTGAGCACAAGTGTGGTTAAGTAACACGCCCTCAATTAACAGTGTTTATTATTACTATTTAACTGGCACAGTTCTAAGCATAGGGTTATAAGAAATATTCAAGTTAAAATCACAGAGTCAACTAGAAATCACCTGGGAATTTGGTGAGAATTTAGTCTATCCTAAATTGTATACAGAATCATAACAAAATCATTTAAATTTACATTATCTAAATAATATAAATTATATACATAATTATGTATTTCAATTCTGTTCAATTATGGAAAATATAATAACTGTTTACATTCATTACTATATTTTATTAATATTTACTTTGTAGTCCATCTTAAGTTTGTTTATAAGAAAATTAATAAATTCCTTAATATAATACATTTTTAAGCTTTTAAAAAGTATTATGTATACATAAGGCTGCAAGTTACATCAGTAATATTTAACTAAATTCTTAATTAATAAAATATAAAGATGCCATCCAAGTAAATTAAATATATGACACAATTAACACACATGACTAAAAGCAGGAAAGAACAGACATAAATCAAATTAGAAAGAAGTAATGTAAAAAATAATGGCTGACTATTATCTTTACAATGCTGAACAGAAATTAGTAGCATATTAAATGACATTTCCAAAAGTCCTACATGTGCTACAAAATTGATAATTTCTCTTACAATACAAAACACAGTGTTTCTATTTGGGGCCGACTAATGAAAACAACGTACCACATTTCTTTAAAAAGCCTCATCATTATGTCTGTTTCATTTGGGCATTTTCCATCTTCACCTTTATTAGTCCTCAAGTGCACATTTCTAAATTGGAATTAGCAGCCATCATTATTAAAATATGGATATTTGACATCTCTTTTACAGATAGTCTTTGACTTGATTACAATGTATCCAAAGAAAAGCAGAAACAAAAAAATAGAACAAGTTCTCTCATTTGTAACATAATATAATCTGAGAACTTCATTTAAATTGTGCTTATTTTCTTTCAGTGTCATGGTTTTGCTTCCCTGAAAGGATTATAGATGAACTCTGATGTATCAAGATTGTTCCTCTGCAATCATGAAGTAGTCTTAGGCACAAAGATTTACTAGCCCTTAAAATAAGATTTACAGCAGTAAAGCATCATTTATTGCAGCACATCAATTTTATTTAATTTTTAGGTTTTGGTTTCTTAGTGAAAAGATAGATTGGTATTTGATAGTTAAAATTAGAAAAAAAAATGAATCATTTATTATACTGAAGATTCTTAACATTTATTTTCAACTTGTATTCTCATAATACGTAATATTTACAGGCTCAACATATTCTTATAGGCATATCTACTTTGAAAAAAACAAAAATATTTTATTAAAATATTTCTATCAGCCTTTTGAGATGTACTGAGCATGGAATTCATTAATGAATGTTATTTTGCAAAGATGTAGAGAAGTTTATTATTTAAAATCTCAAAAACATGTTAATGTGCAAGAAAAAATAATAGGTCTATTCTAACTTTTTAAAAAGTATGATATTAGTTTAGAGGAGATTAGCAATTATCATTTATCAATATTGATAATAGAAATCATATATGTTAATTTTTTTCTAGGCATTTCTTCAATAACAATTAGGTTACCAAATTAGGGCTTCATAGCCAGAAACTTGAAGTTCTAAGACAATAATATATCTTTTAACATTCAAAAGTTATCATTTTTTTCAAATTATATACAATTTTAAAAGGAAACCACAAGATTACAACTCATTTTGAGTTTAATTGAAGAAGCATTCTCAAAAATCTTAAAATTTTTTTTTAAATTTTCAATTGTGGCAAAATATACATAAAATTTATCATCTTAATCATCTTTAAATGTACAGCTCAGTGATATTAATCACATTCATAATGTGCAAACATCACCACCCATCCATCTCCAGAATGCTTTTTATCTTGCCAAAGTGAAACACGATATATATTAAATAATAAATCCCCATTCCCCCATCCTCTGACAACCACCAGTCTACTTTCTGTCTCTGGTTTTTATGATTGTCAGTAGCTCACATAAGTAGAATCATACCATATTTGGCATTTGCAACTGACTTATATCACTTAGCATATATCAGAATTTTCTTCTTTTTCAAGCCTTGCTGAAAAGGAATGACTTAAATTATGTCATTTTTATATTTGTTTTCTACATGTCTTTCAGCTTTTTTTGTCTCCAGTTTCTGCATTACTGTTTTATTTTGTTTAGTTAATTTTTTCTAGCAAAATATTTAAATTCCTGTCCCATTTATTCATGTGTATTTTCTATAGCTATTTATTTGTGGTCATTATAGGTGTTACATTCAACATCTTGAAGTTATAACATTCTAATTTGAATTATATCAGCTTAACTTCATTATCATATAAAAACTCTGTTACCTTACATCTCTATACCTACTTTATTACTAATGTCACTAAATTACATCTTTATACATTATGTGTTTGAAAACAATAAACCAATCATTTTAATTTCTTAAACTATAAAAACAAACGGTGAAGTTACATACAATTTTTTAAACAGTAGCTTTTTGACTAATAATGCTTTTTTTAAGGAAAAGTATTAGTCATTTAAGTCATACAGAAAACAAAAAAATGAGTCACAAACCATTTTTACAATACTAGATTTTATAATTGTCCACGTATTTACCTTTACTGAGATCTTTGTTTTTTCATATGGATACTAGTTACTGTCTAGTGTCCTTTCATTTCAACATGCAGGATTTCTTTTAGCATTTCTTCCACAGCAGAGCAGGCCTCGTAGTAAGAAACTCACTCAGCCTTTGTTTATCTAGGAATGGTTTTATTCTCCCTCACTTTTGGAAGACAGTTTTGCCAGACATAGGATTCTTGGTAGACAGTTTTTGTTTTTGTTTTTGTTATTCCTTTTAGCAATTGGAATATATCAGCCCACTTGCCTTCTGACCATTAAAATTTCTGATGAGAAATTTATTGAAAATTCTATTGAGTAGTCTTTTTATGTGACAAGTTACTTCTGTCTTACTACTTTTAATATGCTCTATTTGGCTTTGGCTTTTGATAATTTGATCAAAATGTGTCTTGATATGGTTCTTTTTGTTTGTACTTATTTGAGTTTGTTGAATTTCTTGGATGTTTGTATCTTTCATCAATTTTGGCAAGCTTTTAGACATTATTTCCTCAAATATTCTCTCCTCCACTTTCTCTAACTTTTTCTTCTGGGATTCGCATCATGTACATGTTTTTCTAATTGATTGTGATCAACAAGTCCCTTACACTCTCTTCAGTTTTCCTTAATCTTTTTTCTTTCTCTTCCTCAGATTCAATAATGTAATTGTCCTATGTTCAAGTTGACTGAGTCTTCTGCTCTGCTCAAATATTCATTTCAATCCCTCTACTGACTTTTTCATAATTTTAGTTATTGTACTTTTTATCTTCAGAATTTCTTGTGGCTTCTTTTTTTCACTTTCTTATTCCTTTATTGGTGTTTTAACTTTGTTATCATTATTATTTTCTTGACTTTCTCCATGTTTGGCTTTCAGTGTGTTTAAGACAATTATTTTTAAGTCTTTATCTAATAGATCCATCATCTGGCCCCTTTCACTGACAATTACTGTTAGTTTAGTGTTTTTCATTGAATGGGCCACAATTTCATGTTTCTTTGTATGCCTTGGGATTTTCTGTTAAAAACCAGACATTTGAATTTATTACCATGATAATTCTAGATATCAGATTCTCCAGCAACCTCAAGGATTTGCTGGATGTGTGTGCATCTGTGTGTGTGTTGTTTTGATTGTTGTAGTGGGTTTTTTTTGTTTTGTTTTGTTTTGTTTTTGCTGAGAATCAAACTAATGTGTTAACTATAAGTGTTGTTGGGTCTTTTCTTAGCTTGCACCTTTCTTTTGACATGCACAGTGACATTAATTTCTCTTTATATCTGGTTGTTTTTAAATGTTCTTGTCTTTAATAGCTGGCTCCCAAAAAGGGGAAAAGAAAAATGAAGGGAAGGAGAAAGGATGCCAGTCTTTTAAATCCTCTGGATGTAACTTTAGCTGGAAGATGAGAGGCATGTAACCACGATGGAAGGTAGAAAAACAACAGCCATTGCCTCTTTGTATTTCTGTGATAACAAACAGCCATCAGCTATCAGGGCACAGATCCCCATTATTTGGAAGACAAGGTCCTTTTGCCCAAGATGGCTCCTCCAAGCTGCATATAAGTTGCCCCAGGAATGAATGCACAGCTTCCTGCCATATGGCATGGGTTGGGAGGTGAGTAGTTACTACTGTGCTAAGCACTGAAATTGATTGAAATTAACTTCAATTTGCGTGCAAGTTGTTTTCTGTGAATTACAAGCCTTTTATAGGCTCTAGAATTCCAAAAACACTTACAATAGACAGATTTTGCCACTGCAGTTATTGTCTAGGTGAGAAGACAGAGTACTGGTGCTTTCTACACTGCCTTCCTCCCGGAATCCTCCCCTCAGATCTTAATTAAATAATTTTTGTGTGCTCTAACTCCTATGTAGGTGCTAAGTACATAGTAAGATTTCAATAACTATTTACTGAGCAATTTTTGCTAATCAGCAAGTAAAATCAAATTCTTAATAGAAATAAATTTTAATTATTTACTTGGTTCTAAATTTGTCATTTGTGATCATATTAAATTCCTTTAATGGATATGCCTAGTACAGTACTTAATATATTATATATATTTCTTATAATCCTCAGAAAAATCTGGGGAGATATTTATTTTTCCTCTTCTTCTTTTTTTTTTTTTAATGGAGTTCCACTCTTGTCACCCAGGCTGAAGGGCAATGACACAATCTCGGCTCATTACAACCTTCGCCTCCTGGGTTGTGATTCTCCTGAGTCAGCCTCCAGAGTACCTGGGATTACAGGCATGCACCACCAGACTCAGCTAATTTTGTATTTTCAGTAGAGATGGGGTTTCACCATGTTGGCCAAGGTGGTCTCGAACTCCTGACTTCAGGTAATCCATCCGCCTCTGCCTCCCAAAGTGCTGGGATTACAGGCGTGAACCACCATGCCAAGCCACTTATTATTTTTCTTGTTTTACTCAGAGAGAAATCAAGTACATTTATCAGGCTTGCACATCTAGTAAAGGTATTCAAACATAGATCAGAGTTCTTGAATTTAAAATTTTTATTGGAAAGGATCACTATTCCTGGCTGAAATCTCAGGGTATTTCTACATTGTTCTAATTAATGTATCACAATGTATTCTACAGGGAATAACTTTGCTTTTACAAACAAAGTATTTAATTTTATCAACACAGGGCATATATAACAGAGTAAATCACTTGAGAAATGTAATCACTTTATTTTACCACCTCTCACTGATACTATCTGTATGCAAAGTTGTCTATAAATCTCTCTTTAGAGTCCTAACCATTTACCAACTGCAAACACTATTTAGTCTAAATTTCTAACTGAAGTTTACAACATAAGTAATGCCTATACCAAAACCAAGAATCTCACATTTTAAAAAGACAATTAATTCTGACTTCTACCTCACAAATGCCTCAACTACCTGACTTTCTATTAAAAAAAAGAAGCACTATGAGTCATATACGCATCCAAAAGAAGTTTCAAACCTCTATTTTTAAATATTTTAAAAATAAGTCAAGAGTTAAACAAACCAGGAGATTTTCATTGTATCTGTAATTTACAAAGAATTATTGAATTAAATTGGTAAAGAGCTGATAAAATTGATAAGTACAATCTGTCACAAATGACACTGAATTTGAGTGGTGATCAAAAAAACCCTATAAGACAAGCATAGCTGGATGTGGTAACTATCGTTTTTCCCATATCATCACTTCATGGCACTTTTTCACCAAACTCTCATTGCATAGACTTTTTTCTCTCATAAAATTAGATATAATCAAATATTCTAAATTACTTACCTGTTTAATATGACTTTCTAAGGAATGGTGAATGTCTCAAATATACTTTTTGTCCTAGACATCTACAAAATTAATCCTTTACAGCTCAGAATTTTTTGTATTAATTTATTTAACAGCAATATTGGGAGAAGAAGAAAACTCATTATCCACAGACTATTTAAGACACCAATGAAAATTGAACTAAAATTATAATGGTAGTAAAAAATAATCCAAAAGTCTTTTCAATTCTTAAATTCTCTAGCAATACCTGTTGAATTTTTAATGTCTGCATAGTACCCAATAAATGAAAAAGTTAAATATTTTCTTCAAAAGGTTTTATTTATGCCACATTTAAAAAATTGAAAATGGGCCTCCAATGTATACAGAGATTATTTCCTTCTTCTCTTTAGCATACCAGTAGGCGTATTTCAGTCCCAATCCATCTATAACTCTGGACTTGATTTCAATATTAAGAAACAAATTGGATATTTTTAAATATCTCTCCCTAAATGCCAAAGAGGTACCTAAAACTTTATGTTCTGCAAAGGGAACTATTGGTCTTTACTTTGCTCATAATCCTGCTTCCTTCAACCTTACATGTCTCAGTAAATGGTACCATCATCCACTTGGATGACCAAACCAAAACCCAGAGTCAATATTTAATTCATCTTTTTCTTACAAGCCCCATATCCAAGCACTTGTCTAAGATCTGTCAATTCGCACATTAAAATGGGCTTGAATTTGTGCAGGCCTCCATCTCCATCTCTGTCACTCTCAAACTGAGTCGAAACATTCTAAAATTCTTCAACTGTTTTTCTCTTCTGGTCTTACACTACTCCACCACCCATTCTTCACACAACAGCAAGTATGATATTCTTGAAATATAAATTAGTTCCTGTTACTCACGTCAATGAATTTGAATACAACACAAGCTCCCTACTATGTATTGTGAGGGCCTGCATACTGTGATCCCTTTCATCCTCTCCAAACTCCTCTCAGCTACGTCCCTCCTCACTCACTACACACAACCACCCTTTTCTTCTTTCAGCTTCTTAAATATGTCAGACTCTCTGCTACTTACTGTCTTCTTTATACTTGCTGATTTCCTGCTATTCACTGAAAAACGTGCAGAAAACAAGACACTTAACTCTGGGGGGAAAAAAGGCATCAACATGTTTGACAGCTAACTTGTCTAGAAATGGTGGAAGATAAAAGACAGTGAAGTGACATCTTTAAAGTTTTAAAAGGAAACAACTGCCAACATTGAATTCTACAACTAGAGAAAATATTATTCCAAAATGATTGTGCGAAAAGCCATTTTTAGACAAAAACTGAAATTTTTCTTATCGGACTTCCACTGAAAGTTAATCTAAAAGCAGTTTATAAGGCAGAAAGAAAATGAACTCCTCCAGAAATAGGAAAATGTAAGATAGAATAAGATGCAATAGGGAGGGTAAATGTGACTAATATTAACTACCTAGAAAATGATAATAACATGGAATTTAAAATATATGTAGAAGTAAAATGTGAAAACAATAAGACATGGTAGCCTAAGGCATAGTAGCCTAAACACATGAACTAATGGAGTCAATGTGTTTTATTATTTTATTTATTTTATTTTATTTTAGATCCTGGGAGTACATGTGAGGTTTCTTACATGGATATATTGCATAATGGCGAGGTTTTAAATGTCATAGCATTTCTTTAATGGAACCTAACAATTTCATTCTTAGGTAAATATTCAGTACATTTCTTCACTGGAAGACAGGTATAAAAATGTTTATTGCAGCTAATTACCAAATATTGCAAACAATCCAAATTTGTAGAACTTCTATTTAGCCTCTCATACATTTAGCTCACTGTCAACAAATCTGTCCAACCCAGGTAAATGTTTTAACTATTTTTTAAAAGTCAAGCAGAGAAGGTTCTATTTTCATGTCCTCCATTTGCTTCTCCTCTGTTTATCTGTCTCTGGGAAGCAAATCTTCTAATCATAGCCGTCTAAATCCTTGGGAAATATAGATTGCTCTCTGAAATTCCCTGTTGGTCTTGAAGATGTGATTCTCCCCTACCACAGGTTGGACACTTTTAATTAAACACAAGCTTCAACTAGGTATTGAATCAGCCAAGTAGGTTTTTGGTTTAAAGAAAAACAAACAAACAAATATAAGTACTTTAAAGTACTTTTCTTACAGGAATATATGCAGGACGCTAGATTGTCTCAATCTAACTCTTGCCCCAGACCAAGAGGATCACAGACTTTTCTGTCTATGTTTGGCCTTAGCTTTTTGAAACCTATGTCTATGCTAAGGCAGAAGTTGATGTCCCTGGTAGTCTAGTTTATCTCACAACTCTATTCCTAATATTTTATTCTTTCTTTTCTTTTATGTTTTTAAAATATTTTTTCTTTTCTCCTTTTCCTTCAGTTTTGTCCTACCTCAATTCCCAAAGCCCTGTCAGGTTTGTCATTTACATACTATGTTTTTCCTTTATCTTAAAGTTCCTCATGGAAAACATAAGATTATCACACATGAAGTGCACTACTTACAATTTATGAAAAAGTTTATTTGCATGATTACATAATTAAGACTCCATTTATGTTTTTTAGTTAAAAAAAAGCAATGCCTCTTAACTAGTGAACATTAACTAGCAATGTTCAGTAGTTAACACCTGAGTACTAAAGAGTACCAGCAAAAGCTGTATTAATACAAAAAGTATTCAAAAGATTGTGCTGTAATGGAATATTTTCCACACGAATACAATGGTAGAAAGCACATTAATCACGTTCTCAGTCTGCAGAACTGAGAAGAAAATTGGCACTTTAAAAAGCCCCCAAAAGATTAAAAGGTCAGATATACAATGTTCTTGCCAATTCCCTTCTCCTCAGTGATTATAAAAGAAACTGAAGAAAAAATGTTGAGGAACTAAATATTTTTGTAGGAGGTACGTTTTAAGCTGCATAGATATTCTAAAACTCCTAAAACATAGGTGGAGGTCCCACTGAAGAACCTCTGTATGTAATGAAAATTGTTACTGATGATAATGTGTTGCATTTGTGGATAGCCAAGAAGCAGAATAACACTAAGAGTCACTAGAGATTGCTATATCTTTGGGAGTATAATTTTGAGCAAGGCTAACCATATACATAATAAGACCATATATATATATATATGGTTATTATATATAATATACATACAATTTACATATATATGTAAATAGACAACTAATGAGTAAAAGGAAAATTATCTATTTACATATATATATATATATATATGATGAGTTATTTTAATTAAAAAGTTTCCAGTTGTCCTATTTACAAGTTTGCAGAAACCAGGACTCTTGTAGTTTAAATTTTATCTCCTTTGGCTTAATTTGAAAGGGACATTGTCTTTTAAAAAAGCAAATGTTTCTGTGGAGTAATTACAATAAATTCTTAGCTTTCTACACCAGAGTGTAAAATAAACCAAGAAAATCTTTCAAAGGAAGAGGTTTGCTAAGATTGAGAGTAGCAGAATAAATAGAAAGGGTTATTAAAAAAAAAAAAAAAGGACATGAGGGCTGTTGATTGAGAGAATAAAGAAAGGAGACTCGTCTTTTGTCACTAATAACAAACTGCCTACCTCACAGCACTGCTAGCTTGTACCACTGGGGACAGGCAGGAGGCTGCCCTGAGATGGTAAGAAAAGGAGAAAATTACTGATATTGTTTGGATCTATGTCCCCACCAAAACTCGTGCTGAATTGTAGTTCCCAATGTTGGAGGTGGGCCTGGTGGGAGATGATTGGATCTTTGGGACAGATTTCTCATGCTAGTTTAGCACCATCCCCTTGGTGCTGTTGTGATAGTGAGTGAGTCCCCACAATATCTGGTTATTTAGAAGTGTGTAGCCCCTCCCCCTTCACTCTTACTCTTGCTTCTGCTCCTGCTGTATAAGACAAGACTTAATGGCTCCCCCTTCACTTTCTACCATGATTGGAAGCTTCCTGAGGCCTTCTCAGAAGCCAAGCAGATGCCAGCACCATGCTTCTTGTACAACCTGTGGAATCGTGAGCAAATTAAACCTCTTTTCTTTATAAATTACCCAATCTCAGGCACTTCTTTATAGCAATGTGAAAACAGACTAATAAGATTACTTTTCTGATTCTACCTAAAAGTAATTTAAAAGATACATGGAGAAAACAGATACTGATTCCTTCGTACTATTTATTTTATTGTAAACAATTCACTCAATAATTATAGTGACCTTGAGCTGGTTAATTGTATAAAATTGTTTATTTGTAAAAATAAGAATTAGAATAGTATCTATTTTTCATGTCCAAAAATTAAATTATGTGACACAAATACAGAGTGCACATTCCTAGCACATAATAGATGTTCAATAGATGCATGAAGTAATTGAATAATTGATACAGCAAATTGACTATCTGCTATAGCCTATTAATGGTAGGGAAAAAATTAATATATTGTGGTAGAACAAGCTTTGGATTAGAAATAGAAGACTTGGTTTTACTCTGTTTCTTCATTATATAGTTCTGTCAGTTTGGGCAAGATAACATCCATTATTGGTTTTTTTGATCTGGAAAATAGACCAGATGATCTATCTGATCAATTCCAGGTATTATATTATATTTTTCTGATAATATAAAGCATAAAATTTATCTATAAAATGACAAGGTAGACTTAAGAATACTAAAAATAAAATTAAAATAAGGAACTTTATAGGAAGGATTAAGAGAGAAGTTAAGAAGAAAAGGTGTGATTCTCCCAGTTAGCTAGTGGAAACTAAAAATTTGAGATTTTAAGAGCAATTACAAAACAGAATTATGGTAGTAAATTAGCATCCAGAAAGAACAACAGAAAAGAATTATCATCACAGGTGGCTTCTGTCTTAGGCATGGCTACTTTTGCTCAAAAATTGTGTTTCAAAAACGTTTAAAGTGTTCTCTTAAAAAAAAAAAACTATTAAA